GTTCGCGTCCCAGTGGGGGTACCGGGATCTTTCTGCGTGGAGTTTGCATGTTCTCCCCGTGCAGCATGGGTTCTCTCCGGGTTCTCCGGCTTCCTCCCATAAGTCCAAAAACATGTTGAGGTTAATTGGTGATTCTAAATTGTCCGTAGGTGTGAATGTGAGTGTGCTTGGTTGTCTGTTTCTAAGTTTAGCCCTGTGATAGACTGGCAACCTGTCCAGGGTGTCCCCTGCCTTCGCCCTAAGTCGGCTGGGATAGGCTCCAGCCTAATGAACAATATTTTCGCTTTAAAAATATGCTGTACGGTATTATAGGTAGAGTTTCCGAGCCGTTCCTGAACGCGGCACGTTACACGCCCCTCTTCATCATCATTGGCACTCCCACAATGCAGCGGGGTAATGTATTAACATGGCGTCAGTGCTTGCTGTTTTTACCAGGGCCGTGGGATTTGAAAAACATTATATAGAACAGAAACATGGAGACAGCTAAACAATAATCTGAAATCAACCTTGGTGCTCGAAAGTAAGTTACTACGTGCGCTTGTGTGTTGCAATGGTCGAACTGTTTTTGTTCTGTTTTAATGACTTGCTTTTATGTGGCAGCTGAGTGCCAGTATTATTTATTTCTCGTAGCTTCCGAGCTAGCAGCTCAGCCGGACGACCGGGCACTGCAGCTAACGTTATTTAGCGGACGGAGACGGCTAACAGCAGACTCGACTAAGCAAAGAGTCCCCAGGAAGTCAACGTGAGCCCTTCCTATAACGCAGGAAACACATTTTGTTTTTAATGGTGAGCATTTTTGAGTCGATAACATTTGTGCCCGCTCCCCACCACTTTTCTTTTCTGTTTTGGAAGTTTAGTTGACGGTGTAAGTCCCGCTGTTTTGTCCAAGTCAGTTTCCCGTTTACTACCTGAACCTGACGGTAGCCGTAACTAGTAGTCTCTGCGACTCCTAACCTGCCATTACCTGATTAAGATAATCCCTAACACCGACCATGAAGGGTAGCTGCATGGGCAGACCTCTGCACAGAAAAGACTTAGGCCGATATTCTTTTCAGGGATGATATTAGTGCTGATTGTTAGTGATCAAGGAGAGCAATGACCTGTACTTGGAACCGATAATTTGGCAGTATAAATTTAAAATTTGGGTGTTACATTTTTTAATAACACAAACTGCAACACACGACTTTGATGGAAGGCCTTTGTTTATATTTTACATCAGTTTAGTTTTAAGAGATTTTTTTCTAAATGTGTCTTTCAGTGTTGATGGGAAAAACTTTTGATGTGTAACAAATCAGATCGTACTGTGGGCAGGACATTGCTCAAGACCACAAAGCAGTGACTACAGACAAATATTGGGGCGGGGGTATAAGAGCCAAAGTACATTTATATTTAAATGTATTATTTTTTATTTGATTAGTTTATAATCTGACTTAAGAAAAGTAATGGTATATACAATATATCTAATCTGACAAATGCTGATTATCAGATGCGATAATTGGTTGACCCTTCCTTCCAACCCTTAGTTCCAGTTCAATATGCGTAAAACTAATTTTGTGTGTGTGTGTAAAAAATTAAACCAATCACACATTCTGATGTCCTCAAATGAAATATATTAAATATTCAAAATTTTCTCTTACCAGCTGTCTTGAATGAAAAACATTGAGTTTACAGTGATCTGAAAAACAAAAGCATTTGAAAACAGTTAGCCAGTAAAGCAGTTTATTGAATAGGTAACTTCAAATGATCAGCTCATCCTCAAGCTCTGCAGAAGCCTGATAGTGATTCTGATCATTTGAATCAGGTGTGTTGGAAGAGGGAAACATCTAAAACACGCAGGATTGTGGCCCTCGAGGACCAGGATTGGACACCCCTGCTTTACACCATGGAGTAACTGATCATAGATAACCAGTTTCATCCAAGATTGG